CCTTTTGAGTGTACAGTTTGCCACCAGACGTTTTCAGTAAGCGCATATCTTCGCTCTCATCTGCGAACCCACACTGGAGAAAAGCCTTTTGAGTGCACAGTGTGCAACAAGACGTTTTCAGTAAGCACAAATCTTCGCTCTCATCTTCGAACCCACACAGGAGAAAAGCCTTTTGAGTGCACAGTGTGCCACAAGACGTTTTCACAAAACGGAAACCTGCGCAAACATATGCGAACTCACACTGGAGAAAAGCCTTTTGAGTGTACAGTGTGCCACAAGACGTTCTCAGAAAATGGGCATTTGCGTACTCATCTGCGTACCCACACTGGAGAAAAGCCTTTTGGGTGTACAGTGTGCCACAAGACGTTTTCACATAACGGAGACCTGCGCAAACATATGCGAACTCACACTGGAGAAAGGCCTTTTAAGTGCACACTGTGCTACAAGACGTTTTCAGAAAGTGGGCATCTGCGTACTCATCTGCGAACCCACACCGGAGAAAAGCCTTGTGAGTGTACAGTGTGCCACAAGACGTTTTCACGAAACGGAGACCTGCGCAAACATATGCGAACTCACACTGGAGAAAAGCCTTTTAAGTGTACAGTGTGCCACAAGACGTTTTCAGTAAGTGGGCATCTGCGTACTCATCTGCGAACCCACACCGGAGAAAAGCCTTTTGAGTGTACAGTGTGCCACAAGACGTTTTCACAAAACGGAGACCTGCGCAAACATATGCGAACTCACTGGAGAAAAGCCTTTTAAGTGTACAGTGTGCCACAAGACGTTTTCAGTAAGTGGGCATCTGCGCATTCATCTGTCAGGAAGCGCAAATCTTTGCTCTCTTCTGCGAACCCACACTGAAGAATAGCCTTTTGAGTGTACCGTGTGCCAAAAGAAATTTTCTCAAAGTGGGCAAATGCGCTTACATTTGCAAACACACATATCAAATTACATAACTCTACTTTATCAAACCCTTGTATTTAGCTGTATGTTTTAGCAAATGATTTTGCATGTCATGTTAGTTTTATTCTTGACCTGAATATACGGATATTAGTTTTTGACGTGTCGCAGGTGACTCATTAATTTTAGTGTCATGTGTCCTTACCAACTAGACTTGTACAGACTTGGCATGTTTTGTAATCTTTATTTTCAAGCTTATTCTAATAAATTCATAGTACATTTTTAAAACTTAACTCTATAAATGGTTTTGTAGCCTCGTTACATGCAAGAGAACCTCGCCCAACACACACATGAGGTCGGGGTGTCGACGCGCATGTCTTCGCGCAGGTTTGGGTACCATCGCAAATCCTGCCCGGACGCAGCGCGAGCCCGCAAACAGTTTTGGAGAAGCTGGCTATCGGCAGCTCCGGTATCGTAATTATACCGGCAATTACTACTGCAGGGAGGAGCATGTCCAGTGATATAAAACTATAGATTTATATCACTGAAATAAAGCTCTTATTTGATACTTTTCAGTGTTCAGTGTTGTACTTGTCCCCACTTAACAACAAAACCGGCCACTGTTGCGCCCATGCGCTCAACTCTGTTAGTTCGCGTTGCGCGAGGCTGCTTCCCCGCTGACGCAGCCGTGTGACGGGCAATAAATTTAGCCACCGTTATCATCATCCTCCTCTCTTTTTATGGACGTGGGTTGTGGATGACTTGGCCTCGCCCTCTGGAGTAGCGAGGACATCCCCACCGCCTCCCTGAAGTGGCCCTTCCGGTTATGCACGGCCGGTGCGCTAGGGGTAGCTGCTGTCCCGTCTCTTTAAATGACCACAAACTGACCAGTCCTTTTACGCGAGTTTGTGTCCCCGGCCCGGCTGCTGTTATACGTTTTATTCTGTCCTTATGTTAAGCTGCTGTTCTCTTCATACCCATCGCGTTTTTTTAGCAGATGATACGTAGTAATCAGCAGCTTGTACTCAAGTAAAGTGCAAAAGTCCGTT